AGGATTGGCCATGAATGCAACGTAGAGACTCTTAGATGTTAATTTTTGTATCTATAAAATTGAAAGCCGAAAATAAAGAAATGAACTGGCATTAATATCGCTTGATTACTTCTTCTTCCATTCTGGCTCGAACCCACCATGAACGATCGGCCAAAAATAAGAAGCAGACCATGATGATGATGTCAATATATAGCTTATAAAAAAGATTGGCTAAGAACCGAGCGCCTCAGTCATTAAGGTAAAGGATTGTCCATTTTAAGTCATTCAATGAAATTTCAAGTATTTTTTTTAATTTTTTTTGTTGAATCATACAATTCAAAAGATTATCAGACTGCTTGAAACCGTAGCCAATGGCTAGTCCTTGTTCCAAAAAGAAAATGCATACAGTAATGCAGGCTTACTGTTACATAAAAAAACTAACACCAGAGTCCTTCAATGCTTTTCTGGTCACGAAAGTGCCGCCTCAGCTTCATATGGAGCCAGCACTGGCCGCTAGGGGCGCAGCTGTGCTCGTGAGGACATGCTGCCGTCCGCTACCGCTGCGGTAGTGTGTTGGTCTGCTTTGATTTCCAAGCTTTCTAAACTTCTGCAAAAGTCGTTTCACTTTCCCTCATTTACTTGGAACATTCAGCGTGCGTCGGTGACTGCGTGAACGCGCCGTCTGCCTTGAAATGAGCACCCGGGAGAAAAGAAACTAACAGCTCTGGACAAGCAGCTCGCGGCAGTCGCAGTCGAAAATGACAAAAATTCGGGGTTTGCCGCACCATAACGATGATATGATTTTGATACACGTCGTAGTGGGGGATTCTTGATTAATGTTTAACAGCTGGGGTTGTTTTTATATGCATGTAAATCAAAGTGCACGCCTTTTTTTCTGCTCTTGCGTTTCGCCTTGTCGAAATGCAGCCGTCAGGGTCGGGGGAGCGCCGCTCGTTCGTCGCAATACTGCAACTGGTCCAGCTTTTCAAAATTTGCCTGAAATCAGACACTGTACATTCGCAATAACGCACTTGCTGTGCCACATGTAAACAGAGGCGAACATACAAGTTGTTACACGTCCATTCGCCCGGAAGTGAGCAAAATCTCTCGACTGCGCAAAGTTGCGCATAAGGCCAGATGGTTCGCACGGCACGGCCGCTCAATTTCTATTAAACTGTGAACATTATCAGACTCCTGGTGTCATTTTATTCGCAACCGAAAACCCAAACAATTAAACCATAACTGCAAGAAATGCTTCTGTAGAATGCCTTCTTTTCATGACAAGAAAAAAAAAACACCTGTTCTATGCGCTTCAAATTTCTGGACCGAACGATTAAATCCCTCTACGAGCCTTAGGTACAATATATGTAATATCAGAGTCCTTAAATGCCAGCAATACTAACCTCATAGCAGTCTTCGGTGCGGCGTGTTGCCCCGCCACGGTGTTCTAGCGGTTATGGCACCCGGCTACAGATCCGAAGGTTGCGAGATCTAATCCCGGCCGCGGCGGCTGCATTTTGGTTGAGGCGAAATGTTGAGGCCCGTGTACTTGGAGTTTGGTACACGTTAAAGTGGTCAAATTCGTTCCGGAGCCCTCCACCACGGGGCGTCTGTCATAATCACAGCTGGTTTTGGGACGTAAAACCCCATCAGTCAACCGGTGCGACGTTTAGTTTATGACCATGACGAACGTGAAAAGTAAGGTCGAACACAGTTGACAGTGTATTGTAATTAGGCCATTGTTTTATAAGCAGTCTCATATAGAAGAGACAGTAAACCAGTAACTTAAGCCACTCGTGATTTCGACAAAAACACACAAGATGTTATTTTGATTCTTCTAATGGCCGACTATATACGAGGGGTTAAGATATTCCAATCATCGATGCTAATATTGTTGTCAGTGTCAGAAGGAAAAAAATATTTCAACAAGAAAAATACATACAAGGTGCCTGTGCGAAAGCAATATGCAAGCACAACCATTTATTAATTTTATTTAAAACAAACCACATACACAGAACACCAGTGCACCAGTTCATAAAAAGCTAAATAAAAAACGTGAAGAATGGACAGCAACATATGTGAGATATGGATTGGGTGCAGAGTTACCTTTGAGTGTTTGGTTTTTTACCACCCCCTGCTGGAAATGAAGCGCACCCTTTCGCTTGCATCTGTTTGTTTCTTTCTCTCGTAAAAAAATGCAAACGCACCTTGAGAAAAAACTGAACAACTTCTGCAGTCGTGCTCACAAAATGTGACTTGCAACCGACAGCAGCTGAAGCAGTCCGAGGGTCCATCAAAACATCCTCCACAATATTCATGTACACACCAGAACAAGCAGTTTTTTCAACTGTGTGCGCTTCCATGTGATCCTCCACAATTTGAAGGAGTGTGACGAGCTGGCTGGAGGGCACAAGGAGAAAACCTTTAGACTTAACAAGAATCAGGCCAGTTGCCGGTCGTTCTGAACTCCTCAGACTTTCTACGCAGCTTGAGAATCTCAGCGAGGAAAACTTCTTTGCAACGTATCCAGCGAGGTAGTGCAAGATCTTCTCCTTAGGAGACTGCTGATGTTGCAAAAGTGAAGCCTGCTCCACAGTTTCTCCTTGCTCCAAAAGTACTTCATCAAAGAGAATAGCCAAACAGTCCGCCTGAAATGCAAACACTGTATTGCTGGTGTGCTGAACATAGAAAGTGCACCGAACGAAAAAGATGTACTGAATGCCTAGTATTGCTTTACACCTTTGTATGACGAAATCCAGGCTTAATCAGAAATCTGCTCGGCTTCTCCAAATTAATGGCTGCAAAATCTTTGATACTGCCTGCACTGCACAGTCCCCTGGCACATATGTAATGCTCATACTGCTTAGTGTGGCTAGAAATGAGAAAATTCACACCTAAATGCATGCAGCCTAAAAACTATCCTGAAAACTTAGTCAAAGAACTAATACGCTTTGATCAGTTTCATCCTATTCAGGAGATATCGCTCCGCAAAGCGTTTGTACTGTGTTCTTTCTTGCCTGCACTTTTTTTTTCATTTTGTTTTCCCTGACGAATTCTTACCATCTGGCTCAGATTTCTACCCTTTCAACTCCTGTTAATATATTCTTGCTCACGTGACAGGCAGCAGGTTTTTCCTTCTGGAATAGGTCTTGGAGCTTCAGGAGGAGTTGTGGGCCGTCTCCTACAACTGATGCTCGCTGAGGCGGCTGGACAAGATTTCTGACAGAGAGCATTCTATAAATGAACAAAAATTGCTGGACTGTTGGTTGTCCTCCGTCACCAGCCACGTGCCTGATAATGCCAAAAAATCTCTGAAAGAAAAAATAAGGATTACTATTTAACTATCAAGCGAGAACGTGCACATGCTTACCTCTAATGGGTCCTGTCCAAACTTTCCCACCAGTACGTAACGAAACCCTGAGGCAAGGAGGTTTTCAACCAGTGATATTGTGCTGAGCAAAGTTATTCTCAGCGCCTCACAGGTGGGCTTGCTCAAAAAGCAGAGCTGCCTTTGCTTTGGCAGACTTTCGATGTATTTGCAGCACCTGTCCAACCATGAAATTCCCTCTTTCAGTGTCTATAAAGTAAGAAAGAATTTAGCCTGAGATCAGAAATGTGTGCAAGAGCAAAGTAATAATTCTTACGTCAACATGCTCAGCTTCACTGTTCTGCACGTGTTCAGGCCAGCGGGAGTTCAAGCAGTCAAACAATCTGTTCATTTGTCTGGTGAATTCAGATGTTCCCGCAGACCCGTAAAGCTTTTTGCATGATTCCTGCTCACTGTAAAATATCATGGCTGTAGCTGTGGATTCACTGAAGAGCTGAAAAGAAATTTTTTGTATTGCATTTCACTGTGAGTCACATCAAAAAGGCAATTTTTTTTGTTTTCTAAGTGCACTTGAGTGTTGGGCGCCTTACTTGAACAGCAAGTTTGACGCTCATTTTCTGAAAAGCGTTTGGGTATATATGTGCCCTCGTCAGCTTTGGTACAGCACGCAGCCCTGACTGTTGCTCTTCATACCCTAGAAGTGCTGCATAATGATCATGATACACTTCCCGACCTTGAGGCAGCTGTCAGAGGAGTGTCAGAATGTCACTCGAGATGAGATCATATGAGTGACTATATCACAGGAACAGTAATTATTTCACTTACCAAAAACTTCCCAACTTTCTGCAGGTTATTTCTAATACATTTAAATATGTGTGGTGGATCAATGAAAAAAAATTGCCCGCAGCTTCCCTCGGGGGAACACTGAGGAGGATGCGGAGCATATAATTGGTTAACGGGGTGTTAAAGTGCGACTTACTTGGGTCGATGGCTAAATTGGTTAACGTGGTTGTGAAATGGGGTGTTAAATTGCGACTTACTTGGGTCGATGGCTAAATTGGTTCACGTGGTTGTAGGAGGGGGTGTTAAATGAGTGAACACGTACACACGTATGCGAAAGGGCGGCGCTGGTCGAAGGGACGTCGATCATTGTGTTTGTGGATTCGTTGGAATTCATTTCACCGCGACCTTGGACGTCGACGAACCGTACAAACCAACCGACGAGCGGCAACTGAGTGAGCGAGCGCCGACCTTGAGTATATATATATACAATGCGACGGCGCATGCACTGTCAGCTGTTGAATGTTCTCGAAGCGCGACGGTGCATGCGCGTCCACTGGAGAATCAGGAGAATTGTAGATGTCGAACGCGGTGCGTAGAGGAGGGAGGGTGCACAGATGGTGGAGGAGTGAAGCGCGCGCGGTGTGTAGAGGAGGAAGGGATGCACAGATGGTGGAAGAAGGAGGAGACGGCGCGGCGGCGCATGCGCGCGCGTCAGCTGTCGAATGTTCGAGAAGCGGTGCGGATGGCGCGGACGGCGCGGACGGCGCACTACAAGGCGCGAGTATAAGATGCTTCCGCATCTAAAAGGAAGAAGAAAAAAAGTGAAGAAAAACAAGTCATGCAGTTTCAAATTTACAGGCTGAGACGACACCCTCATACACGACGACACGGATGTAATCTGGCCTAGCGCTTACATACCTTCATTCACTGATGCAGCATCGGTGCGGTCTGAACAGGTCGTCGGCGATGCTCGTTGCTCCTCCGTCTCGCACGACGACTCACGTGCTCGTTTGCGCGGTGATCGATTTGTCAATGAGCGGGGTCGAGGTTTACGCTTCGTGAGATACGAAGGAAGGCCACCAAAAATACTTGGGACAGTGTCAGCCTTCAGCGTTGGCTTGTCGCGCTCCAGGGACATGGCATCGCCGTTGATATTGAAATCATAAGTAGTGACAATGTCCGAGGCGTCGAAATGCTTCGCACACACATGTGTATATTTGGACTCAAAGTTGAAGTCGCCACTTTCCTGCCGCGGTATGGCCCGTTTCCATTTCTCGCACTGGTCCTTGTCAGGTGGAAAAGAAAACAACGACACCTTCTCGGTCGTTCCTCTGTAGCCGGAACGGCACCCCGGCACGCAACACGTGTTAGGCATCGTCGTCTCACAACATTTGGCTAACTCGGACACGCACGCACGCTTCTTCCACCAGTTTGTCTCGCTGTGCGCACGCGTTTCAGTCTGTTTCAGTACGCGAGCAGCCCGAACGATGCCCTCTGTGGCGCAGTGGCGCCGCATCGCGGCAGTTTTGGGCAGCGTATGAAGCTCTCTTACAGAGTGACGGCGGAGTTTCGTGACCAGAAAAGCATTGAAGGAATCTGCTAACACTCAGAAACATAGGGTGTTCTACCCTGTGTTTAAAACCGTATCGTAAGTAATAAAACTGTACATTGTACATAATAAAAGAAAATGTTGCATGACCAAACTGTCAGACTATGAGATTGGTTCGGTCCTGTGTTCGTATCCTGGCAAAAATAAAAGTCATAACGTGGCATAACAAGTGACCTCGTTATAGTGGCTAAGCCTCTCAGCTGGTGACCCGAAGGCAGCAGAATTGAATGCCGGCCATGGCGGCAGCGTTTTCGATGGAGACAAAAATGCTTCAGACCCGTGTGCTCAAATTTAGGTGTACGCTGAAAAACTCCAGGTGGCATATATTTTCACAGTCCTTCACAGCAGTGTCTATGATATTCAAGGGTTTCTTTGGACATTCAACCCGAACAGTTATTACCGAGTGACCATGTTCCAAAGTCGGAGCCGTGTTGACAAAACTCACTAACGAGCAAAGTTTTGCGTAAGAGAAATTCGGTTTCACAAGTCGATTCACGAAGCAAAAAAAAAAAAAAACGTCTGGAGAGGCCACCGTTGAAATATCGGACGTTGCAGTAAATTGGAGTGCGATTGACCAGGGCTCTTACGCAGGATGACCC